AAAAAAAAAAAAAAACCAAAAAAAAAAAAAAAAACCAACAACAGAAAAACAGGAGAAAAAGAATGACAGAGGACAGCAGACATCAAGGGAAGAATTAGATTTGAGTAACTAAACCAAACTGTTAGTGCAAGTCTATGACAGTCACAGCATGCAGAAACCCCTTGGAAAAGTGTCATACAGATCTAAGTAGGTTGTAATAAACAAGCTTAAGACGTAACTTCACTGAATTTTTCCATACTGGGAAAAATGGTAAGACTTTTCCCCATCATATGGAAGAATTTTGAGATTAAATTCCAGATTATCCAGTCTGAGATTATTAGTTTTATTCTCCATGAAATCCAGTGTATGAACCTATATTAAATTTTTCCAATGATACTTTAAAAAGGTAAACTATAAACTTTTCAATTCACTTTTTATATTGAACTTTTCAAAGAAATCTGAATTGTTGTCTTTAATTCGCTTTATAGTGGTCAAACATTTCTCCTGTTTCTCCCCTCCCCAAAAGTGCAAAAAACAAGTTGCTGCTTGGTCCACAAACATAAAACATCATATACAGCAAGAGGTTTTCCTTCTGATGGAGTAGTGCTGCCAGCCCATCACTTCCAGTTTCTGCTCCAAGAAAAATGTCAGCGTCCAAAGATGGAATTCAATTCCAGTAGAATTAACTCTACAATCTGATTCTGGTACACTGTGTGGACTGCTATGTTACCAGTCTCTTTCTCTGGCTTTAATAAGGTTGGACCAAAAACTATTGCTATACTTTGATAGGTCATTCGGTTCTTTTCTCCATTTTCTACAACTCTGAAAGAGAAAACAATACACAAGAAGAGATTTATCAGTGTTAGGGCAACGAGATGACGGAAAAAGACACATCCCAAAGCAAATGGCTATTCAGAGTATTTATTTAATGAGTAGTCTTGCTATTAGGACATACAGCAGCTGTAATTCTCCTCTCTATGAAAAAAGTTTTGTTTTGAAATGTCATTCTTGGTCTTCTCATAGTCCTTCTAAAGGATTTGGCAGCAAACATCACAATTATGCAACATACTGTCTCAAGTCTGGTGTTCTGAAAGCTCATATCCAAACAGTTCATACATGCTTTTATCAAGTCCAGTATAAAAAAAATGCAGTAAGAACAGTCACTTGGTACTTTAAATTGGATTCTTTATCTTTAAGAAAAGATCAGCAACACATAAGCCTTTCCTGCTATCTGTTACTTACCTTTTCAGATGTCTAAAGAGTACCTGCATTGTGTCCTGATTTGGTTTTGGCAACTGTTTGATTAAATCTTTAACAGCAGGGACACGCTGCCTTGGTTCTTGCTCTGTAAAAGGATGAGGTTGAGAAACAAAAGTTCAGTATTTTTGTTTAAAACTTGAGCATAAAATTTAAGAGGCTGGGAATGAAAGGCACGGTTTGCAGCGCTTATCCAAGATGGGACACTGCCACCTCCCGGCCGGCTCCGGCAACACGGACAAGTCACCCCCTTCACTAACAAACATTCTTACATCCAAAATAATTTTTTAACTTGCACAGGACTTATCCAAACACCATATGCAAGTTCTCCAGACTTACTAATTGCATTGACGAAGTCATTGAAGTGGTTGTAAGTGAACAGCGGCTCTGGCAATTCTCTGAAGAACATTTTTAGAGCTCCCGTAATGACATGTATATCTTCCCATTTACTGTCATTCAAGTCCAGCTTCTCATCTGAGAGAGAAAAATAAATAATTAATGATAATACTTCAACTATAAAAGCACTTTTTTAAAAAAATTAACTCAACATTCTTCTGTACTTATTGCTTTCAAAGCAGTGAAGACTTGCTCTACTTCAGCACATTCCACATCCCATTCTGGGATACAGAGCTGCAGCAGCAGATGGAGATGGCTAAACTCTGCCTACTGCACTGTATACAGTTCCCCTGCTCCTAGAGCATTTTCCAGAAGGGAACAGGAGCTGCTGATATAACACAAAATTTACTGTTAATCCTGTCAATCAGGAAACGAAAGGTCAGATTCTGGATGGGCTACACTAAGATACTGCCAGAAGAAAAGGTTTTAAACACAGAGTACAGTGAAGAGGAGCTAAGTCCTCCCCCCACTAAAAGGCAGTAGCAAATCTCACTAAAAAAAAAACATTAACTTACAATTTCAATGCTAGTGAAAGCTTAACATGCTTCCTGTTTTTCCATAAGGTGTTGAGTTATTTTGTTAGAAATAATCCCCCTTCCTCAAATTCTATTACCCTCTTTTTTTAGAATTCTGTTCTGGCAATGCCTCTATGGTCTGCATGAAACTAAACCTCCAGAATATCAGGTTTTTCAAGTAATGTATGCTACACAGTCAGTTCTGTAATTCTGAAGTAATTTTACTTTGAGGATGACAGTCATTTCTCTTGATACACTACAGTTAGAGAGAAATATTTTTCCTTAGCTTTCTATGGAGTTCAACAATCTGAAAATATATGCCACTGTAATAACTGGAGGAAGCTTACCATGATTGACTGCAAATCTCAGCTTCTGTATCACTGCAAGATTGCCACTAACTCTGTATAAGCCATCGATATCTAATCCTGAAATAAAGGGATAAATCCATTTTAATAACTTACATATGTATAGGTCTACTCAGCAAAATTAAAAGCAAAGGAAACCCACCTTGTAACACATAAATAAAAAGTTAAACTAGCTTGTTTTGATGGGCAGGGCATATAAAACAGAGGGGGTTTAATTTGCTGACACAAGTTTGGCAGCATAGAGCTCAAAGTAATCTCTAAAACTTCCTATTCAAGTAGTAATGAGACAACAGCTCCAAGTTTCCCAAATGAGATCAGATGTCTTGTTTAAGATGCTCTTGGTGGGTGGGCAGGGAATACATGGGAGTCCAACATGCAATAACCAGGTATTTTGTGGATAAAATGTTCAATTTTTAATGTATGGTTAAGAAAAGCCCAATCAAGTCATGCATAGAGAGCATCTCAAAGGTGTCAAGTGACCAGGTTTACATGGAGAAGGAATGATGCACATGCACACTCAGAGCTACCCAACAGCCTACAGAACTAAAATGGGCAGCCCTTGCCTCACAGGATTGCACACTCAGAAAGAAGAAAACTGTCTCTGTGGTTGCTACTGCAGTTACTCAGCAGTGATTAGGAGGTAAAGAATTTATCTGAAAAGCCACTTGGATGCAGCAGGTGAGTCAGTGCCACTGAGAGGGCGAGTGTTGCCAGAATACCTGCAAGTCCCTGTAGCTCCTCAAGGAGTTGTCTGATGCAACACAGCACAGTTACCAGCACCATCTGACATATCCCTTTTCCCCATAATCCACTAGTCATTCCTTTACAGAATGGACTGATTTGAAGTGTATTGGTAGAAGGAAGAAGAGTTGGAGAGGTAGAAAAAAAAAGCTGTTCGTTTCTGTCAGCTTCCCTTCAGGTATTTAAAAAAGGAAAACTTCACTATTTTCACTGTAGTCCTGCCTTTAAAAAAAAAAAAAAAAAAAAAAAAAAAAAAAAAAAAAAAAAAAAAAAAAAAAAAAAAAAAAAAAAAAGAAAAAAAAAAAAAGAAAAGAAAAAGAAAAGGAACAAAGCAAAATAACCCCTTTCTCACAATCTTCAGAACACAAGCGGAATAAAGCCTGCTGCCACAAGCAAGGTGGCAGTTTGTCAAACTGGAATTATGCAATGGAAGCAGTTTTTCTCCCCTCCCAGGCCATAAGATAGAAGCATTGACAAAGAGGACTACAGGCTTAATGAAGTTCCCATGGAAGATGCCTTAGAATTCACATGTACTCCCCTGTAACACTTACCCCGATACTCAAGAGAATGTTCTCAGATTAACGGACTGGTAAATATCTGAATGATGATTATGGAGATTCCATAATCCCCTCTCAGTCATCTTTTCCAAGAGATAAGGCAAATACAACAGCAAGAAACAGGCAAGAAAACCCGCAGAGACTACAGCCAAGTCACAACCAACACACTTTCAACAAAAATGTGAAGATGTGCTTTACAGCAGAAAACCCAGAATGCCACATATAGCTTTCAAAGAAAGTGTTCTCAGTTATTAGGTAGGAAATACATATTTTCAATCAAAGCAAACAAAAACGGAGTCAATATGTAGACACTGATAATCTCCAGAATTGCATAAAATAAGAGCTATTAGTGTAACTGGCTGAAGGGCATCAAACCAACAGGCTGGTCTTCTGGCAGTCAGTGCATACAGAGAGCAGGAACACAACTTTTCCTAAAAGTTCATTTCAAGGAAGTTTTCATAGAAGTGATTGTTAGCATGCTTAAACCTTCCAAAAATGAATAGTTGCATTTCAATAGTCTCACTTTTAATCTGAAAAAAAAAACCAACTTCATGAGCTGAACTCTTCTACTACACTTCTTGGAATCCCTCTTCCCTTGGAGACTTGCTGCCAGGAGGCCATCCTGCCTTTTCTTTAGTTTGAAATATACTGAAGTAGATCAGTTTCTCAGATATAAGGATTTCTTCCCCTCTCCCCACTTTGGATCCCACCTATGTCTTCACTCTTGAAAACCCAGTGCTAACTCCAGATACAAATTTCAGATTATCTTCCCCAAATAAATCAACAGAATTTTAAGATTAAAACATTCAACATTAAGACTGGTGAGCTAGAGAGATTTGTAAACAAAAAATTCAACCATACCATGTTCCTCAACATGCTCAATGCACAGCTTCACGAACTTTGGCACCGTGCTGTTTTCTCTTTGACACAAGCTGGTGAGATTTGAACCAAAAACTTGATCTGGAACCAAGTAAAGAGACTGATTTACAGTGGAACAGGACACAAGTGACAGAACTAGTTCAGGTTAAAACAAACCTCTACAAAGGGCAAAGTCTACTGGATACAATTGTCGCAGCATTGGAGAGGAAATAGGAAAGTTTTGAAAAGAGTTCTCAGCAGCTCCCAGCGAGAAAAAGCTCTCAGTATGAAGAGAAGAAGTTTTGCTACTGAAATAATTTTAATCCATCAGGTGATACTTTTAAAGAGTCATGTCGTCAATAATGTTATAAGAAATTTAATGGATACAAATGTGTCCTGTTACACTCCATTCCTGTCCCAAGCTCAACACGCATTTATTGCAACCTTTGTTAAAAATTCTAAGAGACAATGAACTTTAACTGGAGTGAAAGCTTTTGGCATTGCTTGGGAAAAAAAACCTTGCAAAATGTCATCTTTCACTGCACCCACTGTTTAACACAGCATTATATATTAATTTACTTTAACATAGAGTCTTCTGACATTTTTAAGTTCTGACACAAATTTGTAAATGATAGACTTCTACCTCAGAGCTCTGAATGGATGCAAGTCTGACTATACATAGGCAACCTGGCTGCAAGGTCAGAATCTAAATACAGATATTTATGGGCAATGGTAAATCTGAATCTTATTTTCAAAACTGCACAATTCAGGAGTATTTTCCATCATAAAGTGGAGCAAAAATGAAAATTAGCTTGGACAGAGAGTCTTGCAATGTCTCAGTGAATTTCAGCAGCATGTTAATTCTTCTTGCTCAGATTGCTATCACCAAAACCTTTGATAGATCCATTTCTATGTCTTTCATCAAAGATGCCCAAATAATAGATGGCCTCTTCTGTTCAGCTGCATGAGGGTGACATGGGGTTATGAGACAGAGAAGCAAAGATTCCACTCTTAAAGGGAAGGGTTGTTTGTTGGTTTGTTTACTATGTTAAAGTAGGTACATAAGTGGCCATCTTCCTGGAATCTGGTGTATCTTACTTCAGAGCTTCTGCAAAAGAGAGACTGCTCTTGCATTCGCATCATGCACAGCATCTAGCCCATTTTTCATGTTCAATAGTGTCAGTAGATTAACAACTCTTGCATCTTGACTAGTGCTTTGGGAAACCCAAACAGCACACCAAACCAATTTTACAGTATGAAAATGGGCATTTAATGGCATTATTAGCTGGATATGATAAGGCCAGTGGTCCACACCACCTCAGTGCTGTGGCAGCTACTCACGCAGCAAGCTTTATAAGCAGAACCAGTAGCAAAGGATTGAAAAAGCCCACGCAGCAGAAAGCCAGGCTAGCATGCAGCTGTGGCAGGTAAAGCAATGCAGATTAGGTAGCAGAAGAAAATAGTAGCATGTAACAAAGTAATTTGCTACAATTGCCTTTGACTTTAATAATTTAAACATATACAGGAGTAGTATTTTTTCTTCACATCTTAAAAGTAATATCTGTACTTTTGATTTTCCATGTAACTAAACTTTAACACAGTTCCTTCTCCACTTAGTGCATGCTGTTTCAAGTGGATTTTTTCTTCCAGAACTTTTCACTAGTTTTTCTGCTCATACTGGGTTTGCCAAGCTTTCCATTTATTAAGCTTGTTCTGCAGCAGCCACAAAAGTACACTGGGCTTTTAAATGAAGACTTCTGTATTCTTCATTCATACAATAAATGTAAAGCTGTACAGTGCACATCCAACTTTTAAAGTTTACACCATACTTTTAAATAAAAACCAAACTCCTCATTCCTTAATGCCTTTATTAAAAATCCAATCATTAGCACGCACATGTACAAGTTAAACTTGGCTTTGTGTTCACTGTTGCCAATGTCAGAAGTTACGTCACTGAGCCATGACATGAATACTAAGTTGTAAAGCAGAGCAAAAAGTCAAAGTCTGGGAATAATGCTCCATTATTCCAAACAAAATTTCCATCATTTACAAGTAAATTATATTTGCAGATACACAAATATATCAAATGCTACATGCAACAGAAGCACACCTGTTAAAAGTATGTGGTGAGGCAAATCACAGTAGGATTTTGTCTGGTATTTGCCTACCCATATGCTATTTTGACCCTAGTAGAGCACCACCTACAAGTCCTGCTAAAGCATACAAATAAATAAATAAATGAAGTTTTACAATGAGTACCAAGTCAATAATTTACACAAACACAGTAACTTAAACCTGTGCAAATACTGTTGTCTCAAATTTCTACAAGTGTGACAAAAAGAAATCTCTCATAACTTTGATGCAAGAGTATCAGTAACACTCTTCATGAAACAATTAAAGCAATGTATACATTCAAAAATGGTTATGGGAAAAAGATGTTTAAGTTAAGACTCCTGTAACCTCATCCTGGTTTTCCTAAATATTTCATTTCTTATATGGCACATGATTGTCTGGTTCCACATGGACCAAAACACCCCTGTGAAGGGTGAGCACACGCACTCAGCTTTGTACCCAAAGGGCTGTTCTTTCCCCTGTTTGCACAAATGAGGGTCAGATATCTGGATTTCCAGCTCAGAAGGGTGGAATGCAGTGCTTCTTAGCTAGAGTCCAAGTCCAAACGGGCTCCTGGGCCCCCAGTTTTCACTGCAGTTTGGCCAGCAGTGAGCCGAAGGAGAGGGCATCCTCCGAGCAGTTTAATGGCTAGTAACAGCACCCAGAAGTACAGCAATCACCAGTTCCACTATACATCCAAGACTTTTGTTCAACCAACTATACACACACATTTTACTCTGAAACTAGACCATTTTAACCCCATTTTACACATGAACTACTAAACCCAGCTTTTCAAATTATGTCCTTTGTTAAAAAGGTTCATTTACCCTTAATGTAGCCTTTTTCACGGACAGCTTGTAATGTAGGGCGCCGTGTAAGAAACTTCTTGAGCTTTGTTTTGGTCTTTTTCTGATCTGTGGAGTCTATATTGCTGGGTGCTTTCACTGCTGAAAAGAGAAACACATTTACCATTACCACCCACAGAACCAACACTGCATTTATTAGCCAAGGAACCAACATCAAATAAAAAACCATTATGATCCAAAACACACAAAAAACCTCTTCAAATTTGCAACACAGCCCTAATTTCTTCCTTAACTTTCTGATACTCCTTCTAAATAGTATCCATTTCTCAAACTACCAAGAGACAACCCTGTCACTAAAAACTTGCAAAACCAACTAAATGATAGCTTATGTATGGAATTGATGTGGAAATTTAAAAATGCAGCTATGTTTCAAAGCCAGTCCTGCCTCTCTTGAAAGAATTATATCTTGAAAGAAATAAATACTTTTTTGAAAATTACATATAGAGCCTGTAGAGAAAGAAGAGAAGAAAGTTTGCCTGGTAAGTAGCTACTATTTCTCTGCATCCGACACCTTGAAAATAATTAATTTCACCACTGCTTTTTTCCCCCCATTTTAAATGTGTCATACAACAGGAGCTAAAGACATTTCACACTTCTTTCCTTCTTCTTCCTTTTTTAAAGTATAATTAAGAAAACACGGAATAAAATTTACCAAGTGGCATCAAGATGTAGAATAAACTATATTAAGATTGTTTCCAAACTTCAGTAGTTTCATTTTTAGCTGTCCTTTTGAATTCTTCCCTATTTACACATAACACTGGAGATGTAGAAAATAAAAACTGGCATTGCTAGAAAAAATTAATGGAAATTTTTCAACTCACAACGAAGTTTCTTAGAGTCTTTATTTTCTTTCTCTTTCTCTTTGTCTTGTTTTTCCACTCCAGGGGAATCTGGTACCTCATCATCTAATGCTTCATCAGACTCTATTACCTGTTGGATTTAAGAAGATATGCAGTGCTCAGTTTGCCAGTTCAGAAAGTACAGCATTAACACACACATTTCCTGCAGACAGTTCTACAATCCACAATTTTCCCCCTATCATGACATTCAGTTTGTTCTTTCCTGAACACTAGATGTTAAACATCTTCAGAGACAACACCACTCTAATTTGCAGAGTAATTTTGAGAAATACTATTTAGTCATAAAACTGGACACTGAACAAAGTACAAGCAGCCTATCATGATAACACTTCATTACATCAACCAATGAACAACAGAAATTATTTTTGGTTGGGCTTATTTTCCAAATCCAATAGACAAACATCAGCTATTTAATGGTCTGCCACAGAAATGCCTGACTAATAAGAGTAGAAAAAAATTTCTAGAGCATTTTCCCAATTTGTTTTATCTATACGTAAAATTTTCTTAATAGAAAATAGAACTATCAGTTGGAAAATCTCACTACTGTCAAAACACACTGAATACCCTCTGAAAAATAAGTGTACCAGTGTCTAAAATTCTTTCCCAGTGTTCCTGCTATCTCAGCATATTCTCATTAAACATTGTCAAGTGAAAACATAGACCATGTTGAAGTGTGGAGGCAGATGCCAGTCTGCTGACCTTACCTGCAGCCCAGGCTACGTGCATAACTGCAGACATACCAGGAAATGGGGAAAGAAACTTCCTCAGTTTCAGTACAACATATTCCCTTCCCAAACTGTGCATGTTTTACTTCACTTCAACTGAAGTGAGCTGGACTGCTATGCAGTTGCCAAAATCTGACTGCAGAGTGCCTTCTTTTACAAGGAAGGAAACTATAAAAATGAGGCAGGGTTGTGTACTCCAGGGCACCAAGCAGCAGCATCACTTCCTGGACTAAGCTGTACTTTAACCTGTAGAGCAGTGTTCCCTTTAAACACCTTCATTCCTGTTCCTTTTCAAAAGCTTTGGATAGCCTTTTTACACATCATAAATCAATATGTTCAATTGCCCAAATAATGTCCCCATTAAGGATCCTCTGCTACTTTTCAAGAGGCCTCAAAGCTTTTTAGGATTGGCATATCTTAAAACTATTAAATGCTTTGGAAAAAAGTCACCTGGGATCTAGTTTGTATGTACTATGCAACAAGTCTAAAGTAATAATGTGGAAATTTCTGTATTTAAAAAAGAGCAGCCACATCCTTTGCTGTTCCTCTTGTACAGGATATTACCACAACAGCAGCCTGAGGGAGCAAAGAGAACAGAATCTGATCTCCCCTTTCTTTTTGGGAAGGTCTTGTCATGCTAGCAATAGTGCTTTGGCCATGGGAAAGAGACCACAGCTACTATTACCATAAACTTTCCAAAATTAAAAGTTGGCTTTAGATCTAATGGATTTTTGTACCCAAAACTTCAGTGCTTCAAATTATCAGTTAATAATTTTTTTGACTTATGCCTTGTAGTCTTGGCTACCAGCTCCCAGCAGTATACACCACCATTTCCTCCAGAATGCTGATAAACTCTCCTTATTCCCCCATTCCTCAACCTAACACATAATACCTCACATCTCAGCATATCTCAGCCTTTCCATCTTCACTCATTTATAAGGAGGGAAGAAAGGGAAGAAGTGGCCTCAGTTGTGTTACACAGGGCAGACAGGAGAAGGGGTCACTGAGTGACTGGGTGACACTGCCTCGCCTGGCCATTAAGGTCATGAGAGAGCAGATTAGGAACCTAAACTAGGACTGCTCAGAAAGAAACTCAACCATTCATATTAGCCTGCTGTGTTTTGGTGGAAAACATCCATATGTGAAAAACACTAACAGAGCTAAGAGAAATGAAAGCCACTGACTGGCACTGAAAGCAGCAAAACTGGAGCTTATGGACAGCAGCCAAGCCTGGAACTACTAAAAAGTAAGAATACATATGAAGTACACTTGATAGAGAGCAATATTTTCTGCAAGATCTCCTGCAACTTCTGAATTAAAAAACTGTTAATCCTGTTTGGCAATATCAAAAGGAACTGCTCGAGCACTTCTCTGATAATTAAATACTTGGCATTATGCTGTCAGATAAGAAGAGATAATAGAATATTTTGCCAGGACTTTTAACTTGTACTTCAGTGCAGCCATAGTAAGTGAAGAGCAGCATGAAATGCTAACAGAATGTATGTCATTAAGTTGTCCCCTAGCCATTCTCTCCCTTTCATTCCCTCTCTATCAGAACCTTTCAGATCACTGAGACAGAACAAGTATTTGGCCAGAGAATTTAATTTCTGAGATAGATGTCAGCCCACACTGCCTGCATCTTAAGCCAGTGGACCATCTTTCTCCCTTTGCCACTATTAATTATATTTCACTCACCACCACCAGGTACTGCCATATCCTAAAACTCCTGCCTGCTCTCAAGAAAATCAGTAAATGAAGATGCACATGAAACTTTAGAAGTTGTTATATCAATTAGTTTACTAAATAATATTACTGTGATAATAGAACATTCATTATATAAATACATACCTGATTATTGATGGTGTAATTAAGAACTTTGTACCATTCATTAATAAAGCTGTCATTATCTGATTGAATTAAGAGCTCAGTACCTTGGCGGGTTTTTAGCTTTAAAGAAATAAAAACAGATATCATCAGAACAGATAAACACACTAGAGTTCAAAAGTAAAATCATTTAAATCAAATTAAACTTCTCACTGGCAAAACTGTTAGCTAATACACAGATACTCAAAAACATTTACCAGTGAGAATAGCCATCAACACTCTGCTTAATATTGCAAAGCATATCCCATACAGACATTAAAAATAGACATTTCTTGCAGGTACTAAGGTAACAGCTACATTTAAGCAGGTAGAAGTGGATAAAACTCAGTTTTATGAGTTTTGATTTTAAGCTTAAAGAAAATTTCATGCATCAGTAATTGAAGTGCATGTAATACCTCAATAACATTCTTTTTGCTGGATTTGTCCTTTGAGGCCCAGTCAATCAAAGCCCCTTTGAGATCCACTGTAAATTCTGGCTTAGACTGATTAACACCAAACTTCTGGAAAAAAAATTATGAACAGTGATGATAAAAGTAAGCCTCAGGAAATTCTTTACAGTCTTGCAATCTTTTAAATACAACATGTAATACTTAGAGTCCATAGAACTTAGACCAGATACAGTACTTTGCCACCAATCAACAGGTATGACACCAGGAATTCAAAAAACCTTCCACAGAACAACTCTTAAGCACATCTGCTACAAGCTGCTCAGCTTAAAGCCCTCAAATTCCACAAATTGAAATGTCAATCAGATTCCAGCAGAGATTTTTTTTTTTCTATCACAAACAGCAGAAGTCCATACAACATTTGATTGTAGCTTGATTTTAGCCAAGATCTAGTTTGTATATTTATCTATTTATAATTTTTCTAAAAACATGTACCCCCACAACACTTTTATACTTTTCTGTAGTGCTTCTATTGCTATACTGGAGCAGTCCTACCAAGTAAACAGAACTCACTGTCGGTCTACTGAAGAGCAAATAAGCAACCCTTCAAACAATTTGGAGAAAAACCTCAGGGAGCTATTCTTACTTCCTACCTTCACATTTATATTAGGTATCAGAATTTTTTAAAATAAAGTACTTTTACTATGATTTCAACATACACCACATAGCTTTGAAATGTAATTCCTCAAGGAAACCAGTTCAGTGGCCCACACAAACAAAAAGCTCTATTTGCAAGAGACATGAGTAAAATATGGAACAGGGAAAGCTGGAAGTCACTCAGTTATAGGACAGAAATCTCATGCTGTAGTTCCAGGGAAAGCTTGTAGCATCTGCTCCCCCAGGAATGTTCTTATTTCTTCACGAAGCCTTTGATGTGTGATGCTGTTGCTGTGACAGCTCTGGGGGCCCTCCTAAGCCCCAGGACAAGCTCCTTGCTGCAAACACAAGTTTCCAGCCTGCACAAGAACAGCCATACCCACGGGGAGAAAAGATGGTTCAGAAAACAGGACTAATCTGCTGCTTCTGATTAAACTCCCAGCATGGATGTTAATTAATGCTAATTGTGTTTCAGAATGGCTGTTTACCACTAGAAAATCTCTACGTCTGGAGTCCTAAATGCAATGAAGTGTTGAATAGAAAGCAGCATCTTAACTTCTTTATTTTACCCATGAAATATCAGAACAGGGCTGTACTTCTATTTTACCCAATGCCAATTAGCACTTGGGAAAAAATTTCCCATCGCCTTTCACTTTGTAACTTAATTCTCAGATACCTCATCCAAGAACATTTCTTATTAATTATAGTAGAGCTTTTGAGAGAAGCCCAGTTCAGCAGCAGAGTCCACAGGAACAATCTCTGGGCCATTGTGGCTCTTGCAGCAGCTGCCCAGTCAAGAGAAAGTCACAGAACTGCTGCACACACATGCAAAGTGTCCCAGACACACTTCCTGGCAGTCTAGATCAATCTTGCTGCATGTTGGAAAAAAAATTAAATCAATTTATAGAGTTTGGCACTGGAGAGAACAGGAAACTAGTGTCAAAGTCCTCTACAGGATTGGGGGCAGGGGGGTGATTAGTTAAAACTATGGCCCACATGATGCTGAGAATCACAGGACAGGACTTGCTACAGGTGACATCAGCACATAACAAGAAAAAAATGTTACCTGTCAGTGCTGTTTTGACCAACAGAAAAGCCCTCCACTACATTAGCTTGCTGAACCCACACCTGACAGATTACAGCTCTACCTCCTACAGATACCTACACTGTACCCATCTTTTTGGCCTGACTCCCCTCAGCATTTCAGAGAAGCACAGAAGAAAGTAAAAACTAAAACCAAAGGGGAAAAAAAAATACTTTTATCACTCTTTCACTCAAATGTTGGCCAAAGTGCTGTGTGAAATCCAAGGGTGGGGAAACTCAGGCAAATAATCCAGCTATCCTGCAAAGCTCTTCTTAAACACCAACACATTACATATTTGTCACAACCTTTTTATTCAAGGACATTTTAAGTTCAGCATGCAGGCTCTCCTTTGAGCTTTTCTGTCAAGGTTCTTTTCTGCTCCTGGATCTATAAAAATGAGATGCCAGCAGTCATTTCCCTCCTTAAAGCTTTCAGTAGCAAATGCTGCACAGGGCTGCTCACACAACCTGCACACAAAGCTTGCTGAAGGCAATTGAACCCTTCTGAAGACAGAGGTCAAAAAAAGCCTTTCCTTTTGCATCTGTTGCCACACAGATATTAAGTTTGCTTTCTCAAAACAGAGTGCTACCTAGCCAGCACCAGTCATGAGAAATCCAGCTCTTACTGAGCAGACACCTTACTCTTACTGGATTTCTTTTTTGAGTGCCTGGGAATTTTGGTAAGGGCAGCAGTGTAAGATAGAAAGAGGGAGAGGTCTATACGTGGTGCTGCCAGCTGTCCTAGATACAAACTGTCCCACAGTCACTTCTGATGCCTTTTTTTAGACAAAAAACATAGTCATGGGATGTACTTATGCTGGTTGTATGGGAGAGGTAACTTTGGAAAGAATAGGGTGTTTGCTTTATATAGAATAGATGCTGTGCAGCTTAAGGACAGCCTTGAAGATGTGTACTGACATCAATAAATAGAAGGCCTTTTCAATCTTTTCAGGATTTTCTTGAAGTCCTGAAAGCCTGCACAGGGAGACAGCACACAGTTTGTACTGTGACACATTCTAGCATTCTTTGGAAACAGAACTGGAAGTTATTTAAGACTTTGGATGTACAAATGACATCTGACATTCTTGTAATTCTGCTTCTAATTAGAGTTGGGTAGGATGTTTTCATTGCAAGTTCTCCTCATCCATGGAAGGACTGTGGAAAGAAAGCTGTGGAGACAGATGCATCTTTTTGGCTGGCAGGGGAGTTTCAAAACAACAGCTTAAGCAAAAAAAAAAAAAAAAATTCTTTATCATCACAGCAAAATGATGGATTGTTCTTAAAGCAGACTGATAGGACCATTTAGATTCCAAGAAGTTTTCACAAGAGCATCTGAGCTCCTGCATAATCAGCAGTGCAATACTGATGAACTGCAGCAATGTACACAACATCCTTGGCTAAAATCACAGTTGTGTAACATCCACAAGAGTTTGCTCAGATGAATCTTGAAGAGCATCTATTTCCTTGATGCTTGGGAAGTTTACAAGCCTGGTTTGCCACCACTGCACTTGTCACTGCGGACATGTCCCTATTACAGAAAGGTGACAAATGAATCCTTCTAAGCAGTTACAATTTTCTTTGCTTTATGAAGCCCTGTCATTTTGACAATAATACATCTCATTCACACCAAAAACTGAATGAAAAATACTTTTTAAAAACATCCAGATCTCCTTATAATAAGTAGCCTTTTACAAGGCTACCAAACTGTTCACAAGTTGTCTGTTCCAGGCTTCCACATACAGAGCAATTAATTTCACAAACAAGAAAAAGACAGTTGCATAATTTTAAACATGAAGTTAATTACTGAATTTTTGATAGGCAGCTCTTCTGTGCTTGGCATTTTCAAAACATAATTACAGATGCTTAAATTACATATAAAAATCAAATTATTACATATAAATTTATGAATTTACATCAGCTTTCTGAATGTGGAATATAGCCAGAACATCCTTGTGCTCTTTTTTTTTCACGCCCTTATGCATAACATTTACATTTTTGGGTATTCCCATTACAGCTATAATTATCAAACACCACGTACACCATTGTATCAAAGGGATCATAGACACCATACAAAGACTCCACATTAGTTGTGTTAGAATGAATTAGACAAAATATCTATTCAAAAACTCAGAATATCATGCTGCTTATTAGTTAAGGCACTAGTGGTTCAAACAGTAGGCAAATTTGGGATTATAATTCTAGCACCAATGAACTACATATGCTTTCTACTTTGTTCCAGTGGAACAATTACAGGATTATTGTAATAAACTTGTGTTAATTTGCACCTTGGATGACTTTCAAAAACAGCAAACAAGATACATGTGCTGTTATATGAAGTGTCAAAACTAAATCTTGGAAAAATTCAAATTTACTTTCAGGATTAGTGGCAAATAGCCTTACAGGGACAAGAGGCATGCAACAAGAACACATACAGTGACAGCTGAAACTTGGGCAGAGTTTACATAGGTGACAGCAGGTCGATGACTGAGAGCATTTTTCCAAGAAGAAAGCAGCGAGAACAAGAGCTCAGGAATTGAGCCCCCTTGGCAAAATGACTTGATGAGAAAAAGGAAGAAAAGTGATGAAGTCAAAAAACAATGCACAAAAAAAGAAGATATGGTTATATCAATCACTAGGCGAATGCTAAGTATTCTCGTAAGATGAAGAAGAAATATAATTCTTATCATATGTCAAACTGTTAGACTTTGCTTCACCTTATTAAAATATGGACACAGAACAAAGTTTGAGAGGTGAAGTGGAATTTTGAATACCTAAAAAATAAAAAAATTGCCTACAGAGACCAATAAGAGTGTGTGCTGAACACTCTGACATATCTACAAAGTCAGCTATGATTATGCAGGTGTAAAACATTAGGAGCCTGAAAGATATTTTTGCTTAATATTTTCAGCTTCATTTTATTGTTTGTACTGTTACTATTTATTTTGCTGACCCTACTCTAGTGCTTTACAGTACACACAATTAACACTGTCTCACAGAAATACTCTGACTATGGGACTTCTGTTCCACTTAAATTATCAAAAGAATTTACACATTTTTATTTTTAAATTTACTTGTTAAGATATTTATTTATTTATAATTATTATATCTGGTACAACATGACTTACACTAGTGTCCATAAATCATGCAATGATTTATTGTCCGTTATTTTATGGATAATTAATTTGGGCACACATCATTTATAACATTATTATTTATTCATTAACTGTTTAGCATTGTTTTAATGATATCAATATACATTTGAAAAAGACAGTTCTTTTGATTTACAGCCACACCTGAATTAAGAGTATTAGTAGCTGTAACTGAGATTTTGGAACTTGACTAGTTACGTAGGCAGAACTTTTACTTTGTAATATGCCTATTAATATCTGTAAAACTAAAACACTTTTTGGATCTTTGGCTGCAAAAGTCAATCACAGAAGCCACCAAAATCCACTTCCTGCCATACAGTGGAATTTGCCTTCTTTCACGCCTTTCATCTTTGTGGTTTTCCTTTCCTCTGTCTGCTTGATCATCTTGCCCAACTTTATTTATCCATCCTCATCTATTTTTTTCCAACCACCCCTTCTACAGAAGGAGGGAAAAATAAATTTACAGGTCTGAAAAAAACTCAATACTAAAGAAAGGAATTGTCAATTTCAATTCATTATCCATAATGAAGCCCAGCAGGAGAAAGTGAGCCAAGAAGAAAGAGCAGTAAAGCACAGTAAGATAGCACAGATCTGTAAGAGACAATTTTGCTGGAATTCACAAGACAATGCATGGAAGTAATGAACACTGGCTCTGGCCTGTCTTCACTTATTACAGGAGATCCACAGAGTTTAATGTCAGACCTCTAAAGGAGGCTATGAAAGCCACAGATAAAGAGCCATTTCTATACCTATTAATGCAGGAATGCAGCTGGATGAATACAGCAAATTTAATGACAGTGCTATTACACTAGAGGTGATAAAAAATTGAATAATCGTCCTCTCCAGTGTGATGTTTCACTTTTGGTCTTCATCAGACAACAAAATAAGCACAAGTGCTTGTCATGCACTATGAAGACCTAGAACAAAATATGGAATCCAGCAAGACAAAGACTAAATCATAAGACAACAACACTGCATTGCTCAAATGGGGCAATGCAAGAAGCCATACTATTTTCTTTATTATATGCATCACATTCAAAATTACCTGAAGTTTTCAAAAAAAAAAAAAAAAATCCAAGAATGGTAAAACATACAAACTGACAAACACACTAGTAAAGAACACTAGTAAAGTATTTGGCCTGGAGAAATAATGTCCAGCCTAAGGAGCACCTCAATGTTATCAGTCTCTTTCCTGTCAAAAATACATACATATGGTTTTCTTCTTGCTCTACATCATAATTACATTACGGTTATATTAAACTATTTTCTTGCCAACTTCTACACAGGTTTTTTTCTGTGTTAGGTATATATATATATAGGTGTTTAGGCCCTGCAAATAAGAGTGCTTTAGTTTATTGTGCTTTACATGACTAACACTTCAGGGAGGGTGAGGGCTGTTCCTGGGCTTACCCAGCCAGTTCCACTTCCTTGGGTTTTAGTGAACAGCAGTGATGACCCTTGTAATACTGCCCATGATGACATCCAATTCTTTCTGTAAATAATTATAAACAAACATAAAATAAATTTACTCTGAAAGCAGATATTTAAACTGTCGATCATTGTTGCTCAGCTGACCTGTATGTTAATATAGTTAAGCACATATATAGTCATTAGTGGCATCAGTAAGTCTTAATTGCTATCATATTTGTAGAAGGAAACATATGCTCACAATCCCAGCCTGACCATCAAAGTCTAAATCAAACAAAGCTAATTAGTAGTAGAAGCAGTACACCAAGAGAAACACCATGCAATTATAATTTCAAAGGGGCTAATCTGGAACGCTCAGCTCCCTGTGTACTTAACAGATCATGCCAAACTACTGCATAATTCTGAAATCCATTGATCTGACATGCAACTGTCCCATATTCATGCAATAAGTTCATTTATATTGGCAAAAAAGTATTTCCTACACATCAGAAAAATTAAGAGAAAGACGAGTTGTTCCAGTTGTCTGACTATTTGATTTTATGCCAGCAGGCCCATCCTCTTTGGTTATTAAAAAAAAAACCTTGACAAGTCTTGAATATCTATTCCCATTACCCAACATGAATTATTACTTAACAGCTCTCAAAGTGACAGCATAGCCACAATGCATCTTTCTGTTCAGCAGTGCAACAATCCAGATCAATGATTCCAGCAGATGCAACATGAATGATGACAGAACATTGTACCAGCAGCAGCTCACACACGCTGCTGTCTACCCAGCCCTACCAAACTCCTAGAAGCAGCTCTGAGGAACCAAACTGAAGGTCAGATGTGCTGCTCAGCTACACTGGACTAGGTCAGGGTGGCTCTACAATAACAGCTGGGTGGTGTTGGCTAGTTAATCCTCAAAACGAGCATGCTTCGTGTATCACAAGTCTGGGAAACACTAAACTAGATATAACACACTATTAGATCTAAAAGATTGTATTAACCAAAAAACAATAAAAAGGGGAAAAAAGGCAAGAAGCAAATCTAAATTAACTCTGAGGATGTGCCACACCTCTGCAGTATTTGCTATTGATTCAAAACACCAGAAATGTAGTCAGACAGCATCACCTGATTACACATTATGATTTATAGTGCAAATTGCTGCCTGGGACGCAGAGCAAAGTTAGAAATGAGGTCACTCATCAGCTACAGGAGACTGATGTTTGGCAATGCACTGCTCCAAACCCTTCACAAGCACGGAGAAAGAAGAATTAGGGTGCACATGGATGTACACTCCTTGGAAGTTAAAGGACAACAAGTGAAAGTCTGAAAGCTCCTCTTATACTGATTTTATCCAAGGAACAAGACACACTATAACCTATACAGATTTGTTTTTCAGTAAATCAATCAGTCAATCCCATTTTAAAGAGCTGTCTCTCATCAATACACCTTCAGGAAATTGCTGGCCTGTGTGAAGCCTTGATCCATGAGCCTCTGGCTCTCTGCAGTCCATTAGCTTTGGCTCACTGGGACAAACACATGGGGTAAGGTTAAGCTGTGTTACACAGGAACACCTCTAAGGGAAATTCAGACAAAAAGCAAGAAGTTGCAAACCCCAGTATGCTGTCATCATAAAAAGACCTTTGATAAACCGTAAGCACATGTACTTTTAAAGTCCAAGACTTACCGAACTTTCTTCCCATTTTCTGTGATTTTTGTCACATTTAATAACCCATACTTTTCTTGACCCTGTAAGATAAAAGTAAAACATAATAAATATAAAAGGAAGTCTGCTTCTATTAACATCACAGAAGTCCAAATAATCAATTTCTGGCAGTGAGCCATCTTTACTCATGTCATAACTTCAAGAAACTGTCTTTAAGCAGATTTAAATATTCAGAGATCAGCAAAATCAAAATTCCTCTGGGAAAGTACTTATTACCATTCAGAGGGTAAAAAGCTTTCCTTCAAGACCAAGGTTCTTTGGACAATCCAAATTAAATAATTTGTGAAAGTAGTGAAAATTATGAATGTAAAATTTACAATGATTTGCAAAATAATAATATAATAATAGCACAGTAGTCCTTTACTAAAAAAGGAGGTGGCTGACCAAAAACCAGCCCGGATTCCAATATAAATTCTCCCTATTAATTTTAATATAATTTCTTATTTTAAATAAAACATGGTCAATGTGCATAAAAAATTAACATATTCATGTTAAAAACAGAAGAGTGAAGCATTTCTTTGATGTCCTCTTTTTTCTTATCCCCATGGAAAATAGCAGAATTTTAAACTACTTAGTTATGTCTTGTTGATGAAAACCATCTATATTAGCATGTCTACAAAAGAATTTGAAGACCAGTCAGTGATTGGTGGGAGAAGAACACTGCTGAACAAGAAGGCTATTTGCAAGTTTGAAATATTTGAAGTGAGTATTTCTAGTCTCTCATAATAAAATGAAGGAATGTTCAAAAAGCATTCTAGGAGAAAAAGATTAACTTAAACTATCACCTTAAGATGAGGTATCAAAATCTACCATTTTTGTCTGACACCCCAGCCTTGTCTGACCAGCTAGTGGTGTTAGAAGAATGCTAAATTATTTTACATCATCAATTCCTTTTCAGTAACAGCTTCTAAAGTTCCTAATGTGTGTAATAAGCTATTAGTTGAAACAATCAACTAGGGAATGGATCCAAATTAGCTTTATCATTAAAATAATGACCTCAATTCTAGATCAAATGAAAACAGAAGATAGATCCTCTTCAGAATTTTCCTCTAAATCTCAAATTTAAATGCACCATAACTGCACAATACAATTTTGAAGAAAATTTTTTTTTGCTGGGATACCATGGACAACACTCTTATCAGAGACATAGATCTGTTTTTCATGGACTTTAAAAATTCTACCTGCATGATTCAAGCCCAGCACATAAAATACAGAAAAGACACATTATTAAGTCTTTTAGCTGGTGGATCAGATGTTACTTTAGTGCAGTGGTAACTGCTGCTCTTACTCAGTTTAATATCTTCACCAGGCTGAAATGCTTCTCCAAGCCAATAACATAAGCATTATTTTTCCAAAACTGGTATTTTTTATAACATAAGAAGTGAGCTCCTCTCCTCATCCACTCTCCAAAAGGCCAAACAAATGAATCATCCCATTCTTTAGACTACTCTATTTGTGATCCATGTGGACCAGGGACCAGCAGTGCCAGGTATTACACCCTTTTAACCAACTTTAACAGGCTTTTAACAAGCAGAACAGCCTGTTACCAACTTTCACAGTGGTTGAAAAACTTGTGCTCACTTCCCAAAATAAATCATGGTTTTAGTCAATTACCCACAGTGGAACCAGTGGGGATGTTCCAGAGTATTATTCAGAGAAAGTATCATACTGTTACTTAGCAGCAACACTAGGGGGTACTAATGGGAAAATTAATGGAATCAAGAAAAAGAAGAGGAAAGCAGGCTAAGGATCAAAATTCTCAAAAATGTATCAGCTTTCTTTGGAATATTTGAATCCCAGATGTTTTTTCTATTACCTAAATCAGGAGTGAGCTCTTCCACAAAATATAGTTGCAAAATTTCAAGTTTTGAGTCATATTTAATGAAATTAGATTACATGCAGCAATAATTGCTTTTGTGTAAGGCTATCAGCTGTGCTTGCTTAATAAATGTTTATTTTATTGAAAAACTGTTTGAAGTGTTGTGAGAATGGATTATCAGGACTAAGCCAGAGAACTATTCCCCTGCACAGAGAGTAAGGAAGAAACGGGAGAAGCTGTGCCTTTAATGCCCTGAGCTACCTATCAAGGGGCTGGTAAAACTGACCAAGTTACTTATTTCAATGCTACTGTAGTACAGTTCCAAAATATATATATATATATATATATATATATATATATATATATAAATGAAGTTTTTTTAATAATTTCCTGCTGTTTAAAAAGGAATTATTCACATTTTAAAAATAAACTGAAATTTAAAAAGCTATTTAGCAGGCTAAGGTTTTTCTCCCAGAAGTTATTCTACTAAATTAAAAGGACACAGTTTATTCATGCCAGGTCCCTTATGTCTCTTTAAGAAGATTGAAACACAAGCCAAAATTAGATATCAACTATTACTGACTAACAGTAAGGGATTCTCTGAAGAGGGAGAATTTTCTGTTTTTACCTTTCTAGATGCTCCTTAAGATGTGACTGTTGAAAGAAGCAAACTGAGTTCTACATAATTAGGCACAATCTGGCCACAGTGATTTTTTGTTTACTTAATCTACTATCATTAAGTTGCATTGAAACCAAGGACATCCACATTTTTTTCCTGAAAGCAGAGCTAGATGTAATGCATTCCTTTTAAAATGCAAAGCCTTCAAAAAGTTTTACCCCATTATTTTTCCCAAGAAAAAGAAGGCTTGCCCTCAATTCTCTAATCATTAATAGCTCAGTTTCTACAACATCTATTTATTTATTTAAACATTTTGCATACTGACTGTGGCTTGATGTTTTGGTGAAGAAGGAGATGATTCATTTTCTGGAAAACTGGCCTTAGAAGCAGTTGATGATTCCTATAAAATTCAAATAGACAATGTCAACAGGTACTGATATTATTACTATTAGTACTAATACTATTATCTTCCACACAATTATTTTATTTTTTTAACCTAAAGATGCTTTCTCTCTCTCTTTCTTTTTACACACTCATAGATTAGAAAAGTACTTCTTTTAGGAATTCATAATATTCTCAGTTACATTCTAAACTTACTTAAACAGTGTTTAGGATTGCAGACAACACTCAAACTGAGTTAATAAGTACATAACCATTTGAAAAAAAGATGTTAGTACATGCTGCATCAGCTTCAAGCAAAGCCTTCATCCTTATAAAGGGTAGATTTTTGTATGACATTGCTATCAAATTAAAATGTATATTTAAAATGATTACAACATAGCATATACAAATACTATGATTTTAAAGAATACAATATGTTTCTATGTGGTTATGCACAATAAATACAAGATTAGTATTAAAAAATTATATATGTAGAAAAACACATACCAACTTTATTAATTTTTGCGACTCATGATCATTAATCTCCTTTGATATAATCAAACACTGAAAATCACTAGAGATTTGGGGTTTTGTTTTGAACTGTTTTAACTACAGACCAAAATAAAATACTTAATCTCTGAAAACTAGAAAAATTGCCCATCTGGAGCAAAAAAAAAAAAAAAAAAAGGCATGTGTTTTCTCTGAAGTAATGAAAGTAATGAGTGCCTTGCACAAACACCCTGCTTGAAAATCTGGTAAAGAATTTCAAATGGAAGAAAAACATCACTTGTTCTCTGTTACTGTTAGCACATTTCTCCCCCTCTCTCTTTTTAAATCCCTTGATAGCTCTCCTAAACCCAGTTTGCTTTTGCAGCATTACATAGCACTCTGCACCTAAATCCACCTAAAAGTGGCCCACTAGTTCTTTTAGTAGCATAATAACAGAGAACTTTAGCACTCCTAAGTAGAACAGCCTAAATGTTCCATATTTTCACATGTCTGCAAAGAAAAAAAGTTCAAGTTTAAAAAATCAATTGTCCCTTCCAGTAAGGTTTTTTTTTTCCTATGCTTACCAAATTTTTTAGCTGATGGTTCTACCCAAATATGTGACAGAGCCAATAAATTGTTAACCAGAATGTTTGGTATCATCAAATTCCCATGAGTCCCGGCAACCCACACTTTCACTCTGACACATTTCAAGTACTCTTTTGCCCTATTTTCATACCATCGAGTTCCATTGTTTTTCTAGGAAAAAAACAAATAAGGAAAATAAACAGAAAACAGTTTCCCTAGGAGACAGCTAAAAAAAAAGTTTGGGGTTCATGTGCCCATCCAGAAAAATACCACTTGCTTTCCTTTCTATTTCATTTGAATTTGAGGTAGCTTTCATACAGCAAAAGCAACTCTGGAACAAGAAATCCAGTATTTGTGGTAATGAAACATTCCCTTTCCACATACTAATTTAAAACAGAATATATTAACAGTGTGCCTGCTAGCGGTAATAAAACAGCTGCATTAATGAACTAAAAATTATTTGTCTTTCCATAAAACATTAGTTTATTGCTCCACTACCTGTTTTAAATTTTCTCAAAGCCTTAATGTTATGCTTCATATAAACTATTTTCTTCTTACCAATAAAAAACACATGCTGCCTACATGTTTGGAAACTGTTAAAGGAGCTTTAGGCTGCTGACTTAAGACTTCACAAATGCAGCTCAAATAGAGTTTATTTTGGTTATTACCCATAACATTTGTGCATTTACATGTTTGCTTCACTAGGTTTAAGTTATTGATATGTGAACACTGACCCTTAAAGAAATGTAAACAGCTCCACTAATTCAATGTTTTACAAAAGCTTCTTTATTCAGTGCAGCAGTTCTTTCCAAAACATTCAGTACATCTTATGCCAAAAAATAAAAAGTTTAGTCTTCTTTAAAAGCGAAGCCACAGCTTCAAGCTATCTCCAACAAAAATCGTTCATACCTGTGAAGCATAAACTGTACATGAGGCTAGAAGTGTCCACTCAGCTTTGATTTATCAGGGATCCATCTAGGCTTGGCTCAGGGAGTGCCACAACACACTGAGTGCAGAAGGATGCATGAGGCAGAGGAGGAGGAGGGAGGGGAAAGGAGCAGCAGCAGGATCTCAGAATGGAGCTGAATTCACGCCGAGAGGTGCAAAGTCTCCAGCCAAGCACGGCCCACTGCCTCCTCAACCCCACACATGATCTATCCCAAAGTGACAACTCAAAAGCTCAAGATCAAATCCAATAAATCCTGTTCTGAAAAGCTAAGTCAACTCATGGAAAGCAAGTCCATTAAAATGGATACAACAGGTCGAGCAAGTAACTGGGCAGCAAATCCATTGTCATTACAACTATTGTGTTTTGTCCATTCAAGTTTGGCTTTGACATGTGATTAAACAAGACCACTCACAAGCTTTTCCTTACATTTTCAAATCTGCAGTAATTTAATTCTTTTTCCAGAATTTTAGGAAAAGGGAGCTTACAATACCATTTCTTGGTATTTAATTTTGGGAAGTTTGTGCTAAGATTTCAGCACTACCAAGTTATTTCATTTCCCAGCTATCTTAGGATGGAAGTTACAGAAACCACCATGTCACCACTGTACAGCTCCCATTTCAGTTGCTCCCTGCTCAGCTCACATCACCTCTCCTGACCCATAGGCAGAACGGCCCAGCACAAGCAGAAATGGCAAAGAAAAAGGTCAAAGCAGAGGGAGAGCAAGGGAAAGGTCCTGCCTCCTTGCTGGCCTAAACAGCACCTCTCACTTTCTCACAGAAAGAACATGCCCTAAGAATGGGCAGAAACCAGCTTTTGTTGTTACTCACCCACAGCATTTTCCAGACTAAGCACCAGCTCAGCTGTGGGGAGGCTCAAAGCCAAGTGTTTCAGCACTTTCAGTACTGTCCTCTGCCCTTCAATAACACTATCACAACCCTGTTGTAACCATGCACAGGTTTTCCCCTGAACTGACACTAATTAAAATACTTCTAGGACAATAAAAGAGGTACTATTCACAAAGTAACAGTAGTGACGTTATTGAACAGCCCTTGTTTTTGCCACAATGATACAAGAGACCAAAAGAAAAACGAAATTTCAGAAATTCAGGCATAGTAACTTCTGGTACATTAAATATGTCAAATATCAGAAATCAGTGACCTTTCAGCATGCTGATAACTTGCTCCTACCTTGTCGTTGGTATCCAGCACAATTGTGCTGTGCCTCCATTTTGTTAAAACTATTGGTTCCTGTAGCCTCCTGTCCAGACTCCTACTCTTTATTATATCTCTCTGCTGCTGTGGTGAAGCATTATACTAAAGAAAAGAAAAATAAAATTGTAAGTAGGATCTAATTCATGCAAACAAGACCTGGACATACCACTCATATGCCTAAATAATGCAAATTTTCAGACTCCTGATATCACCACCCAAGGGCATGAAAACAGCCTTGGTTTTATTCTGCATTTAGTCTTCAAGAATTGTCCTTTCTCCTGTAGTCCTCTCTGAAACAGTAACTAAGACTGGTGTGTTGGGATAATACACACAATTGACAGAGAGATATTTGATTTCTTCTGCAGCAGATGCTGCCAATTTTGCAACTCAACAGGTACTGAGAACCACCAAGGAATTACAGCCAGTCTTCATATTGCATTGACAGTTCTACAGCAACTGACCAGCTCTTGTGTAAGGAAAAGAAAATCTATTATCCTGCAGTAATATATTTAGATTTTTATTATTGCCTGGTATGACTCTCTTTGACCCAAAGATTTGGGATGCCTAAGGAGAGGAGACACGAGGGTGAGGACTTGCTTTTTCAGAACAAACAGATCAAATTGCTTATAAAATAATTTGCTGGTGTGGAATGTACTTACCACATACAAATGTACACATTCCATAAACATGGAAGATAAATATTTAGCAGGAAATAATTTTAAGGCCTAGCTGAGCTGTAACAACCAAGAAGAGACTATATTTATCTAACACAGGTTTTCTAGTAACTCAAGAGTATGCAAACTCACAGAGAAAATATGAGGGTCATGAGAAGGACACAGCATTTAACTAGATCTCACAATTGCAGCATATTTTTCATTAATAGCGTTGCCATTTTACATCATAACAATATATTATAAAAAGTTCTAAAAATATTTTAGACAAAGTGTTATACTGAAAACAGAAACCAGAAGAGACAACATCAGTGTATGGGGATTTTAAGCGATTTATTAAAATCTCATTCTTTTTAGTCAGTATCAAAAGACTAAAATCCACACATAGAAAGAAACTTAAGGCAGCATTTGTGGAGTCACATAAAGCACTAGAATCCACTAGGTAGGAAACAACAAAGAAAAGTGAAGTGCTTCTACCTAAAGCAATAACCTCTGCAAGGACACTGAGTTCCATAGTTTAGTTCTGATTCCTGCTATAAGCTCAGAGCCTCAGGTGTTCAAAGGCAGAATAACCTATACCTGCACATACCAACAAAACAAAGCATTGCAAGGTTTAATCTAAACAACATAAACACTAAATCTAACCAAAATTGTGTAATACAATTATATTTATTGCCCAAATAAAGAACCAGCATTACTACTGTTATAGCACTCACAATGCTTGAGTTAGCTTTGTAGTTTACTATGAACAGAGTTAATGTTCCAATAAGCTAACAGATGCTTAAAAGCTAAATAACTTTAGCATTTTGTTACATTATTTCAGTATGCACAAGACTAGTAAAACACTTCCAAGTGAATAGATGTTGCAGTACTGAGAATAAAATTTGGTAGTTCATGTATAGACAGAAACATATCAGCTGTCACTGCAGAAAGTCACTTCTGAGTCTGCCTTTCTACTGGCTTCAGCACATTCCCCCTCACAGGACAACTGGTGAGGTTTAACCAGCTCCCAGCTTGTCTCCTTGTTAAATCAAAAGCTGAGCTGTGATACATGCTGAAAGGACCCTAGTGCTCCACTTGCTTTCTTGTTATAAGGAAATATCCACTCTGCCAGAGCTCCTGCAACCCAAACCACAGCAGCACACTGAGCAATGTGCAGCAAAACTGTCTGCCAGCAAAACTAAAATCTAAACATTTTCCAGCAAACTGTGTCTAAATCACAAAGGATGCAGCAAACAGCATTCCTTGCAGCAGCTCTAACCCATTTAAGTGGGCAATTCCAACACATTTCTTGCTATGAAACATAACTGCTTCTTTCAGAAAGAGATTTACACATTACTGACACTAGTATACATTATTTATGGAGATTTCCATACACTTTCCATTTGAGTAACTCAAGGAATTTAACAAACAAATATATATTTTGAAGTAATTTATCTTGAATTTAAGTACATTTTAAAAGTTAGGATACAGGCACAGGTGATTTATATTTAGTGGTTCTTTTGATACTATCACAAGCCACAGGAGTTAACTTCTCTAACAGACAACCCCACCTTGAAGGAGAAAGGAACTGTAACATGAAATTCAAGTTTTACAAAACATATTTAACAAGAAAACAATCCAACAGTATATGGAGCTCATCAAAAAAGCACTGCTAACAACTCAGGAACACTGAGCTCTATGCATCTTAGCAGATTAAATAATTTGCATTGGTGATACAAACAGTGTTAGTAAACTGACAAGTCTTTAAAGGGAACATTTGACATTTTTGCCCCATTTTCTCACAATAGAAACTTAAAGTAATTTTTTTTTTCTCAGATGTCTATGAGGTTTTTTTGTTTGTTTTATTCATTATAAACCATAAAACACACTGTGGGGAAGGGTGATGTGGAAATAAAGTTTTATGTTTCTGGGCTCAAGACAAGTCTCCACTTTTAAAATACATTAATTGGTCTGTGATGTCCAAAGAGAATCAGAAGGAGATGGAGGCACCACTCCCTACTCCTCAATGTCCAGCAGAACTCATCATCCTCTAGACCAGGCAGTGTCCACTGGCCAGGGAGAGGTGGCCAGACTGGAAGGCTCACCTGGATGGATGACAGCACCCTGCGACCCTTTGCTCTGCCCCACCCAACCTCAGGTCAAAAAGCCTTGCAGAACAGCTTCAGGTCTGGTTCCCTGGCACTCTGCAGGACTCCTACCTGCACAGGAGCTGCTCTCTCTCCTCCTGCATTTGGAGTATTTACCATTGTTTACCAGAAACTAGGCTGGGCTTGCCTTCCCTCAAACAAAATCTTGTTTTTACATAATCATAAGCAGGATTTCTATGCCTAAGACTTGGTGTGATCCTGAAGACAGAGATCAGGCAAGGCTGTCCTCTGCAATAAAACTGACCCTTCAAGACTACACACTGCCTGGTGGGACAACCCCTGCTACACCACATGCCTTAACAGCATTCTCTTAGCATGCAGTGTTATTTTCCTAGAGCTAAAGCTTTTAAAAACGCAGAACACAACTCCAAATTTGTCCTTGGAAAGCCTACCTGAGAAATCCTCCTTGTGGAAATCCTCCACAAACTCAAATTTGTCCCATTACACTAACCCCTCTGGTACATCAGCCCAGCTTGTTCCTCATTTCATTGGGAGCATCTCTTATCACACAGGGGGCACATGAGCAAATAGCTCATTCTCTGACTGCACACACCAGGCAAAACAGGGATTTTTTTTTTTTTTTTGTAACAGCTCTTGCTGTAGTTCAAGGACACCAGTGGTGTAAATTTAGGTCAGAGAGTATTCTTTTCATTGCTGAATTTGTTCAAAACCTTCTCCAGCTACTTAAAGGCTTTCTTTGCCTCAATATCTTTGCCTCTATCTTCTCAACCGGCTGAGTGATTTCAATTTAATTTTAAGCTGATACATGGCATGGCTCAAGGCTCTGCCCTAACCTAATTGTGGCTGAAACAAATGTAACACCTCCAAGTTATTTTAGCAGTTGTCCCCATTCTTACAGAGACTGCACAGATCTGCCAGTTTTAAGAAACAGAAAAAAGATTCTTCCTGGTTTGTGTTAGCAACATCTTCAGCCAAAGGAATTGAGTGGGCTAAGTGAGAAAAGACTGGGAAGCAACCAATACTGAAAGCTGGTAAGGACCTGAAGTGAAGCATTTTAGACAACCTTACTGCAATCAAAGATCAAAACAGCAGCATTTAAAAACATTGCGCTATCCTAGTACCCTTTAGCACCTCATATATGTTATTTGCAGCTGTCCCGAAGGACTGCCTGAAATAGAAGAACCTTCCTTAAATTAAAGCTGCCTCAGAACAAAACTACTTTCTAGCACTCCTACTGTCCTTGGCTTTGAATAAACTTTTTTGTTGTTGTGATAGACGTAACACCTAGTGTTACTGATTTAGTTGATAAGAAACGCAAAAGCTGTATCAATTTTTCTTAAACTTTCCTAAATAAATAAGGATTATTTTTGCCCTTTTAAGGGATTTCATTCCCTTCCTTTCTCTAGGGAATGAAGGTTTCTCTGCCAGAGAATGTCAGGGTGGCAGCAGCTGGGGGCCTCAGCCACACAGAAGGAACAGAACCCAGGCAGAATGAGACCACTGGGACAAGCAGCTCGAGCTCAAATGTACCAGTGACTGAAAGACACCTCTGGATAAACTACTTTGTTCACTTTGCTCTCTGGGACACCCATTGCTTTCCCTTTTAATCCTCAGGGTCACCAAGGCTGCTCATCTTTGATGAGCAGCCCCAAGTCCTTGCTGATTGCCGCAGGTCCTGCTGCGTGCACAAGCAAAGGCTGGGGGGGAGGTAAGAGCACTAAACCCCAGGATGAATGAGGAAGATGGACCAGTTTTGTGAGTAGAAATACAAATACTAAAGAAAAAGGAAAAAAAGCCGACTACCTTCTCATACTTAACTCAGGTTTGTTTTTTTAACAACCTGTGCTGCTGAAAACCACCTGGATCCTCACACCAACTGAGGCTGTCTCAACTTTCACCAGCCAATCCCAAATTTAAGCACAAGAATGTCACTACTGCTAATGAAACTACCTAGTGCATTGACTTGCAGTAGACTCAAATGCCAGCACAGAGGGTAAACCTCAAATCCAGCAGCACAGCTCAGAACAAGACAAATTTACCACAAGACAACCAAGTTTTGTTTGCATGTTCTCATATTTATTTTCCTTCACCATTTGATTGCACAGTATGCTCCTGACATTACCTGCCCCCTGCTTCACTGTAATTTCTTCAGCTATCACGCTCTGACGGCTTCCAGGTCTCCATCAGTCAGACCAAGTACCAGAAGTGAGGCCCCTGAGCTCACCCCCAGGCTGGCAGTGCACAGGGTGAATTACCAGACTGCTGGTCCATGAACGCTGCCAAAAATGAAACTCCTCCAGCTACTGCTTCCTCTGTGGCTACAGCAAGGAGAGCTTATGCTGCAGGAACTTGTGAGAAGAACACGGGCAATTTCAATATCACAGTCTGTAAATGTTAACACTAAAACTGAGTTCATTCCAGAAGCTTACAGAGACACATTTTCTTCCAAAGGCTACTCTTGGATCAGTGAGCTTGCTCAGAGGAAGGCCAAGCATCATGCTCTTATGTCAGGTGTTGGCCTAGGAATGCCTTTTAAAAGTCTGAGAGATTTTTAATATCTACTTTCTATTAGGTTGTCCCCTCTAACTCTTATTTGAGCTATTTATTTGTATATTTATTAGATTTCTCACCTTTTTTTTTTTTGTGGTCATTTTGATAGGTTAACTTATTTTTGAAACTTCAGAAATTAGGGAGGTCGCACTCCTGAGAGGAGTTTAATTCCCCTCACCCTTACTAGAGATTTCTCATTTAAGTCATAAAACTCTTATTAGAAAACTACATTTCTGGAATAGGGTTGTAGCCCTTAAACTGAATTGAGACAATATTCTTTCACTGAACAGGAAATAAACATATTTTATTTTGTAACTTTTAGTTGATTGTTTGTTGGGGTCTTTTGTTGCTTGATTGTTTTGGTTGGGTTTTTTTTGTTTTGTTTGTTGTTTGTTTTTTTTTAAATAATTGCAAGAACCAAAAACTGAATACAGGAGAATGCTGCAGATGAGAAATCTAAGTTTTCTGCAGGATCTAGTAGAAACTATGATTAAAATATTATTAACCATTTTAAAGATTAATTCAATATGTTCTTCTGTTCCACTGCAGAAAGCTGGGTCACACTCATCATGAGCCTTAATAGACTTTTCAGCAGTTGTCAAAGCTACTGCATCTGAAACATCATTTTTAGCCAGAGGCATCCAGCTATTCCTAGATGTTATTTAAATCCACATGACTGGAGGGCTTTCTGTGAGACTGTCTAAAGTGATTTGTTTTGTAACTGTCCTCCCTTCCCAGCATATACCCTCACAATTTTAAACACATGTACAAGAACAGTGTGTTATTCCCAAGCATGTGCACATTTATAGTTAATTCGATTACTCTGAAGATTTTTAATGTCACAGTATTAGCTCAGCTAGTGTGCTATTTTCAGAAATCTCTGAACCATTCTTAGTCTAATGAAATCCAGATTATTAAGAACCATCTAACAAAAAGATTCTATTCTTTTTTTGGTCTATAACAATACATGACCATGCTATTACATCACTTTATTTCACAAGATTTGGAAGGCAATATTGGTGTTAAATACACTGGTGAAAAAAAAAAAAAAACCAAATAAAAACAACAAAAAAAACTGAACAAGAGTAGGATTTTTCCTAGTAACTTACTTTTCATTTAAGCAAGTGTTACAATGCTGATATCTTTCTATGGTTTTCTCTCATTACTCAGGAGAACTTTTAGCATAGATTATTTTTCGTCAAAGCAGTTTTGTGGTCTGTGTGCTCTTTCAAATTCATTTGTTGTGAGTACTTTACAACCAGCTTCAGCAAGATCTTTGAGAGACTAATCTTCAATCATGTTTAATTACTCACAAGCATAACATCTTCAAATATATAGTTACAAAAACCATCTACATCTTTCACTGAAATATTTAATCTATTCCACAGAATTTAGAGTTAAAAGCCCAGGATTCTGAATCTAAGAGTCAATTGCTCTTTTTCTTCTGTTAACCTTTTATTTGCTACCAGTCAAGATTTACTAGTTTCAAGAAGGAATTAAAAAGTACATTCCACCCAAATGGATCATGAGAAGTAATTTTCAAGAAAAATTTCTAACATCAATATATGATCACTTTCAGATCACAAATTACAAACCAAAGGCTATGTTTAATTTTCAAAGTGGCTGCTAATATAACAGAACTCAGACTTTGTTTACAATAACTAGAATAACATGTATTATTAAACAAATACTAGAACCCCCTCCCTTATGCCTCCTAACATACCTCAGGTAATGGTTCTGGATTACCTTTGCGATTTATTCTAATTGGATTAAAGGCAATTTGCTATTTAATTCAAATCCCAATTCAATCTATTTTTGTGAAATAAAATGTCTTCCAAGTCAAAACTTTCTGCATAGCAGAAGTCACAGAATGAAGTACTCATGACATTATTCCCCAAAATTATTTCAATTATACAGATTGAAGTAATAATTACTTCTGGTAAAACCTGGTCTATCAGATTTTAAGACTTCTAAAAAATTCAATAACTAATCAAACGCTAAACAGCTTTTAAAACCAATAGGTACAGATTATATTGTTACATTCAGATGCTACAAAACTTAAGTTATCCAACACATCAGACTGACATAGGAGAATTCTCAAAGCTAACTCAACTCTTCAGTGCTTCAGATGCACATTCTTCTACTGACATAACAAAACAGCTTAGTATATAACTTCATTCATAATTTTCATGTAAATATTTTCTCACAAGTAAAATGCACTACTTATTAAAGTTGCTCCTTTCTAAGTGGAAGTGACTCAAGACATTGATTTTTGTACTGATAAAACAATAATGGAGAAATGTGCTTTTTGCTGTGCTTTATGTACACAGTTTTGTGTGAAGCAATTTTTTCACGGCCATAGCTTATTATGTAGTATTGAATAAATAGCAGGGAAGACATACATCCATATCACAAATGCCCTAGTTTTTTGAAGTGAATATGAGAATTAAATAGTAGTAGATACATCCTCAGACTACCAAGTGTCCCCAGATATGTCACTTCCCTACAAATTTCTATTTTGACTATTAAATTAAAAAATACCAGAACACAATTCTGGTGAAACTGTGCCATCCTCAAAGATACCACAAAATTGTGCTGAAACTTTTGTTTTTCAACATTTATTTGTATTAGCACTTAGAAGGGTTCTAAAAATAGACTACAATTTCTCAGTGAAAATTTCTCCTTTTTTCTATACAGTCCTTCTTTATCACACGAAAATCACAGATACTATTCTGCAGCCCTGCATAAAACCTTTGCTCTATTCAGCAAAGACACCAGATCTCCTTTGACATCTGAATAAGCTACATACATCTATTTTTCATGTCCTTGAGTGCATTTTTTTCCTTTTCATCATCAGAAATTCCACAAAAATGCAATAAATAACAAACAGCAATATCTGAGTCCTCTGGCTGTTAGTACCTCACGTTAAAGGCCTGATAGAACATGCATTCAGGAAGAGGGGAAAGCCCCAAGTTTTTGAAGTTTCTTTTTTAGGTCACTCACCTTAGGTAACTCCCACTCTGATCTGGAACCATCAGCACTGTAGTAGTATGGTCTACCTTGTTCATCTGCATGTTTTATCCACTGCAGAAAGAAATGTGATGATAGAAAATATAATCAGAGTGACAGTCACAACAGTAAATCTCTGAGACCTGAGATTTAAAGTTAATTTTTAATTAAGTGCCATCCACTTCAGCCGTGTCTAATGCACAACCTCCATTAACTAACCAGGCTTAGATTGCAATAAGAGTAACAGCTTTCAGCATCCTGATCTTTTCCGTCTGTAACACCTCAGAAAAAAGTCCCACAATATCACACAAGAGATTGTGATAAATAGATTTTTTTTTTAAAGATGCCATATCTCATTCTTATCAACATTATGTTGTCAGTTTAGGGAGGCACCATTTTTCCATCAGATCTGCATCAGGATCTTATACACAAAATTACAAAAAAAGCAGATCAAACAGCAAGTGCTAATAATATGAGAGATTTATGCACTTGTTGAACAACTTGAACAACTTTTTTAAAATATCAATGTAAACATGAGATGCAGTCCCTAGACAAATCATGAAGAAGACAATATAATTTCTGTAACCTCTACAAGCACCTTCCACAATCAAAGAAGTAAACCCATGACAACTGGGACTGTTCATGGAGAAAGAAAAGAATTGTAATGAGCAAAATTCAACAAGACGATTACAGAAAAACACAGAAACACTCACAGCAAGGCTTTGGCTCAAGCAGGTTTCACAAGATTGCCTTTCTATAACATTTTGTGGTAGGAAAAGCTGTTTTTTATCAATCCCAGTGCAATTAAAAAAGAAGGCTGTATATTTGCTAAAACATAGGAATGTGCTTTACAGATGTTTGTCAGAAACAGATTAAAGAGGATAAAACTCTAAAACTGACAAAAAATCTAACTACTTAGAAAATTCTTGCAAATAAAACTTGCCTAATTCAACTCAAGACCAGGTGGTGCTACAATATGATAAAATACTGATTCAGTGAACTTTAGAAGTTTAAAAAACTCAAAATGCAACTTCAGTGAACAATTAGAAAAATGGACTGCTTTACAAATATAAACAAATACTGTAATTTATCCTAAGTGGGAGAATTTTTTATGGCATGCCCAGAATCCCAGTAAGTTGTCAGTAGCAATCAGATTGTAAGAACAGGGCATAAATCTGCTGATATGGCTGTAGTTTAATTAAGAAGTTTGTCTACATCTGAAAGCAGTAGTGAAAAATCTCTTAACAAAGGAAATTACAAAAGTGATAAAGCAGCATTACATTCAGTTTAAAAACATCTTAACTAGAAGGTCTTAAAAGACAGCAGCTCTTAAAAGACAGTAAGAAAAACTTATGAAGTTCGTTCCTGAAGTATAACCAAGAGGAAGGGGGAGGGCAGGAACTAAAAAAATTATACATGGTATTTTCATTTAATATAATCTGATACATAAATGGAAATAAAACTTCTTCTAGATAACAAAAACATACATAAGAAAAGGGTCTGTTCACTTGCTAAAGCTTCATGCATATTTAAAAAAGACAAAGAGAGCTACTGCTGAGGTACACTCTTCACTTTTGGAAATGAAGGTTTCATTTCTAGAAGTGAATTAGTGGAAAAGATTTAGAACACATGATGAGAAGAAGGAAAAAGTACCTTTTCATTAGTATAGTCATTGGTATATAAGGTTTGACCATGTTCATCCAACTCTTCTGACCAACCCTTTGGAGGAGAACCATACTGACTATCTGACTGGCTGTAACAAGAACTGTGGTCGTTTTCTTCTGATGAAAGATGCTACAAGTAGTCAGAAACATACAAGGCAGTTTTGAGAATGAAAGCGCTTTAAAATCTGAAAGATCAAAGATTATTTGACTAGAAAGAGAATAGTAATGAAAACAGGGAGTTCACATTTTTATATCTTATGAGAGAATGAAATGCATTTTTACAGTGCAGACAAAGTATTTTCAGAACTAGCTTTTACTGATAATTTTTTTTTTTCATTTCCACCACTCAGTTAATTTCCACTATGCAAATTTAAACTCCAGGGGTTTTGTCTATCCAAATTTCATTCCTACAAATTTACATTACTGATGAGGAGAGTTAGCTTTAGTAATCTGCATTGCTTTAAAAAAAACTGGGAGCCCTGCTACCTCGGTTTTCTACCACCATCCCTAATTTCATACCTAAATCCTTCTCCTTTTCTCAAATACATCTGGAAACAAAGGAGTGATTAAGGACAACTTGGAACTCCAGTTTCACCTTCTCAGATGGCAGCATTTTACAGCATTTGTCCACTGCAACTTAAAATATTATGAATTTCCACTCTCCTCCTTCCAACTCTGATGCACATGAAAAAGAGCATTGCAAAAGCAACGCTTTCCACAAGACACAGCTAGCTGAGGTGAAAATTTGTTTCCTGAAGGTAGAAATCAGTTATTATCCTAGGAACAAGTTTAATGTGTAGTGCAGAAAAAAGATTTAACAAACACATCAAACAATTTCTTTTCCCCCATAAACCTTGTTCATCTCCTTGCTAACACACTGTAGTCTTATTCTAAGCATCCACTCCATGCATCAAAAAAAAATCTCCCTCTTTCATCTCCCACAACATCTTTACACTGTGGTCTCCTGAGGAATTCTATGCAGATTTCCTTTTACAGTGTCTTGGATCCTCAGCTAGCAGGAGGCAAAACATTTAAGACACCCTGCTACGCAGAAACAACAGGAATAAAACATTACGGTTCAATAACATTGGTATAAGGTCTTTCAGGAAAAACTGGAAGGCAGGAGAGAGACAATTTCAACTCTAAATAGGAAAAAAACCTCTCCCAAAAAAATCAAGCCTTACAAAAAAATATTCAGTTATCAGAAGCTCCCCAGTTTTTAAAAGTACGTGGGTTTAAAGACTATATATGTTTAGTGACATATCCAAATGATTTCTACATAGTTTTTTGGTGTTACTTTTCTGAGTACCTTGTGTGCCACTTGTGTGACACACGTTCCTTTAATTGACATGACCCAGTTTACCAAGCACAGGAAAACCCACAGGAAATTTTTAGACCATTAATTAAGGAACATGACAAAATGCAAATGTCCTCTACAGCTTACAGAATGTGAGCATGTAAGCTATGGATTAACCAGTGCTACCTCTCTTGCACATGGGGCAATGTGAAATTCTCATGTGCCAATTCCTAACCACTGTGGGGAGGGGAGGAGAGCAGAGCAAAGGGAGCAGGGAGCCTTCAGCCCATTTTTACACTTGAAGAATGAAGACTGAAGGGCTGCCAAGGGTGCTATTGACCCTATTTGAACTACTGTTTCATAGCATAGCTATATTGTATACATGTAGTTATGTTTACATGGTTTTAATAGTTAAATATTAATTGCATTGACATATGGCAAATCAATATAGAAGACTTTGGACATTTTTATTATTACTATCTGCAGAGATTATTACCTAATAATAAAATACATTGGTATTTGCCTCTTCCAAGCAACTCCTGATACTGAAGAAACACCCTATACAGGTAAAACTAAACAGAGGACCTAAAAGCAAAAATTCCCCTAGAAAAACCACTGTTGTATAGTAGGATGACTGTTAATGTGTCTGTCTGCATGGCATCCATATAATAATAGTTTAGATGCTGCAAGGCTTAACTCATATCCTGTACATTTGCAGACCTAAACTTCAACAAAATTCCTGAGTTATTACAAATTTTACCAAGTCAAGGCACTCCTTGTCCCCTAGCTGTCAGGAACAGCTGCTAAAGCTGCATCAACATGGTCTAGAGAGCACTGGCCAAACCACGTTCCACAGCTTTCAATTTCACTTTCAACACTTTCTCAGCATTGCCTGCCTATACATTTTTTTCATATTGTCCATGCTTTATCTCAAGTCTCATCCCCACTTACACTACCCCACACTTAAATAAAGCCATCTTAACCAGACAGGTGTCCAACCTTACACCTCATAAGATCTTTGCTGTGACATTAAAGAGAATTACAGAAAATGCACCCCACAGCATTGCTTCTGTTGTCATTCTTGGCTTTTTTTCTATTTACATAGGAAGTTCCTGGGGGCAGAGACCAGTTCATCACCATGCATTTACTAGGAACAGCTATCTATTTCCCTTCTATCACTTAACCTTTCTAGCTTTTAATGTTACTACTACTTGTGAAAGTGAAAATTATCAGGAAGAATACTAATTAAGGAAGCTATCATCCCTTCATGCCCATTTGTTTATATTAAAACAAAAAACACAGAATGAAATCACATTCTGGACACAATTTAAATCCAGCTTTGAAATTCAATTAAAACCCATTGCTTTTCTACAGCTGTTGGATAATTTGTGGATATCTACTTCACATTATGACCTATCCAGGTATTAAGGGTTTGTCCTCTCTGATATTGTGACAACTCATTCCTTTTACAGTTCAACTTAATTAAATCACTTCACTTGACAAATTCATCCTAGTTACTGTTAAGCACACCTTCCTCAGATACATCAACAGTCACTGCCTCTAATACATTTTATCTGCAATTCCAAAAGCTTATACACTTTCTCACAGGCCCTGTCCATAGGACTTCACTGCTTCCCCATATCCCATCCATGTAACATAACATCCATTTAAATGTCATGATCTACAACTTCTTTCTTTGTACTGTGTCTGTGACCAGCTACTTTGGCAAATAAGGTACAATTCTGCTCCTTTTTAATTATCCAATAAAATTTGATTTGCTAATCACAAAGTTCAAAGACCAACTATAAACTATGTCATGTTTCATATATTACAATATCTGATATCTCAGTTCTCATTTTTACATCACCTTCCATTTTGCTACCTAATACAACACAAGTTCCTCTGAGGACAAATCAGTAGAAACTAGCTTTTTATCCTTCTGCATGTACTCTTTTATTCTTAAAAGAGCATAACTCAGACTAGCATAAAAGTCACCTTATAATTATTATGTGTTAGCACTAACCTTTCCTAATCAGACAAAATTTGAGATGCCCTACAACTTCCTGCAGCTCAGGCTTGGATATCAATCTTTACTTTATATTGGATTAAATGCCCAGAGGTTCCAAAAAGGAACGCAAACAGTGGAGTGTGAAGCATGTTCCCAAATGCAGAACAGAAAAGAAACAAAAGGAAAGAGGGGTGGGGGGAAAGGCAGCTTCAAAATCAAAACATGACTGCTGGTAAGTGGATTGACATGACCATGCAAGGTGCATCTCCCCCTAGATCCATATTTTGATTACCCAGTCAAGACACAAGTTACCTAAGGAGCTTATGCTACTGGAAATACAGACTTAGCGTCTAGTTAAAAATCAAAACATGTACTGCCCATTGGTCTCACAAAGTCTGCAAACTTGATAGACATAACTGCCTGATGGCCAACTTGTGATACCTGAAGCATCACAAATAAACAGAAGAACTGAGACGAAAGAAGTTGTGGGCAATTTAAAAAAAGTAAATAAAAAATCAAGCATTCCAAAGATGCGACCGTGTGGTGAAGTGATAGTACAGATGTATGAGTAGGAGTCAGAGGGATTGGTTGCAGATGGAGAGGGAGAAAGAACTCTTGCAATCCTTCCATGAAAAGAAGGAAGAACTACAACAATGAGAAAATGATTACCAGGAGATGGAACTACAACAATGAGAAAACCATTACTAGGAGATGGAACTACAATGAAGAACCATTACTAGGACAAGGAGAACCACTACTCAAAAAAGCAATCAGCTTACCCAGACTAAAACCAGTCTTCTCCAGGAAAAGGACAGTCAGTGATAAATTAAGAGACCATCACCAGAGATACCAAAGGGACAGGCATAAGCATTCCATCTGTTTGCCTGTTGCTGCCATTCGCCTGAGGCAACAAAATTTGTCTATTTAAATGCTTGTGAATGTCACAGTTGCTGTGAAGGCCAGTGCCAAAGGAGATGACTGGTTTCCATTTCCCTTTCTCTCCTGTTCCTGTTAATAACTTTCCACAGGTAGACTTCTTAAACTTCTGTGACAGGCTTTGAGCAATCAAAATTTTTCAATCGTCCATAATTCAATTTTAAAACTAAACTCTGGTTTTATAGCTTAGATAGATAGATATATATATATATATATATAGGATACATAGAGACACTTTATATAGTTGGCGCAGGAGAAAATCCACCAAAACTATATATATATATATATTTCTGAAAAGGGAATATAGAAGTGAAATATGTAGAAGATATTTTGATAAATATTTGCTTTCTCTTTCCATCAGGAAACCGGTTAACCCCAGTACTGTTTGGACACAAGAACAGTATTTTAAGCATATCTAAATAGTAATATCCATCTCCCAACTATTCCTTGACTTTATCTGAAGCAGTGCAGCTCAGATAAACACACTTCACAATCAGACTTTCCCTAGCAACTGGCTGCACAGAATAAATTGGCACCTCAAATATTAGTCCAAATCATCTTTTAACATAAATAACTTCACAGTAAGCTTCAACTATCTCAAGCAAGGTCAACAGCAAAGCTTTTCCAAAAGGCTTGGCAAAAGCAGAACTTTTACATAATGAAAAAATCCATTGATAAACCCATGAATATGTTTATGGCCTGAATGTAACCTAGTCAAAAGTAGCAGTATCTGCTATGGGGCTGTTTTTACAGGCATTTTTACATGATGCTACTCTTCTACACAGATCATGTACACATTCCTGTACACAAAAGCAACTCAAGAATGAAAGTGTTGACTACTTCATACCAAGACACATAACAAAAAAGACAAAGAAAGACACTCCTTGACACCTTGAAACCAAGAGATACCAAATTCCACAGCAAAAGACCATTCATATGCATTACAATCTCATTGTTTTTGATCTCAGAAGGAACTACCTCATGATCTGCATGGCTCTGGGAATCCCCTTTATTACTGCTTGCATCTCGGGCCCATCGTGGAGGTTTCCAGGTTCGCTCCTGTGATCCTCTGTTGTAGTAATAACAGCGTCCTGTCGTATCTTTATGGGTTTCCCATTCACCATTTATTTGGACTGGAGCACTTGTAGGTAGAGGTGGAAGTGCAGACTGAGATATTTTCAGTTCTTGCAAATTAGCATAAACTGGTGAATCAGGCCTCCCTTGGCTTGGTGGAGTAGTTGGCTATTGAGAGAAGAAATGCACTGTTAACGAGCAAATGGATTTTTGAATGCTCTTTACAAATCAGAATACAGTGGTAAAACAAACCAACAAACTCCTTCTGTTGTTAAGTACAAAAGCACAAAGGACAGCCATAAAATGCTGGGGTGTAAGAAGACTAGATTCTTAATTCTAAGGTAGATATCACAAGCTATATTTATTTAATACTGAACCAAATTTCCAGCATTTCTCCAGATGACAGCTGATAATTATGTCTTACAGTGGATTTGAAATACACTGGAATCGTCATCAAAAAATTATATGCTTGCCATGCCTTGCTGGAAGACTTCACTTTACAGTTCAAATATTGCTCAGAAACTGTAAGTAATGTGATCTTGTTGAAGACAATACATAGCATTTCTGAGATGCCTTTTGTTAGGCAAAGATTGTTCCCCAACCTTTCCACTTCACTGTTGATACAGAGATGGTGAATGTAAAGCAGCACTTTTGCATTCTCAGCAAGGTCTAAACAAGCATCTCAGTCAGAAAGATGAGCACAATGTTGTGACTAAGAAATTCTGAAAAACACCTGGAGAGTTCACCTGTATGCCTTTTCAAACATGCTTATTTGAAAATATTTTAGGCAACATCACTAAGTGTTTCAATTATCCCCTTCTTCTTGTAGAAATTAAGTGGATATTCTTATCCACCTGATTTTGTTCAGATACATGCACAAAAGTAGAACAACTAATACCTACAAGAAAACACTAATGACAATTGCTTATTAATAAATAGTTTGCTAATGTGACAGACAGCAGAAATTACGGTTAGAAGACCAAAGAACTTAATGAAACCACAAGTACTTCCAAATGAGCCCCTACAGTGTTTAGGAGAATTCTCAATTTTTAAAGTCTAATACAAACACACCATGTAGAGTGTAAAAGCACGTGTTTTCACGAGAACTGTGATTATGAGATTGTGAATACAGGTAGTTATTAAACCAAATTAAGGAGTTTCCTGGTTATAGACTGCCATTTCTGTATTTTAGGGCACAATATTTAGGTACTCTAAAGGAAAAAAAACTATACCATTTATATCATCCCCTTGGTTTTAATTGAGCAGCTTTGCTGTAGGCAAGTCCTTGTGCCTCCTGTTGCTACTGCATTACATAAAAGATCTTTTATAATGTACTTTTAAACATTAAAATCATAAGATGCTAATCTAGGCCACATCTAACCATAAATTATCAGGGTTTGCTCAGGCAAGACAGCGTATCATACCACACAATCAGATATAAACTGACTGCACCATAGGTAGAACCAAATATGGGCAATATCCACAACCAAAGGGGGAAACAGCTAGAGAGGAACTTAATGAGATTGTAACGGGCATGGACTTGTTTTGCGTGCCTTTAAAAGAGAGAACACAGCTTACCAGATATAGCAAGTACAGTACAGCTAAGGCAAACCACAAGTGCTGAAAACAAAAACATGAAGCCCTGGCAAAATCTGAAAGCCAAAATTAACCAGTATCCTCCTATACCTGATTCAAAGGTAAAATCTTTTACAAAACTTGACGAACAGTAAAAGGGCATTTTCTACTATCCAAGTCACACATGTTGACTTATGTTTTGTTCTGTTTATTTTTGGGTGGGGTTTTTTTGGGGTTTTTTTTTTGTTTTGTTTTGTTGGGTTTTTTTTTTGGTTTTTTTTTTTGTGAGGAGGGTAGAACAGCTGCCTTTGTTAGAGTTTATCTTGAGAGCCCTAAGAGCATAAACATCACTACTGTGAATGAAGACCACCCTACTGTCTTTGGGGACGAACCAATTCCCTGGGATGCTGGGGCAGTAGTCTTGATGCCTCCTCATTCAAGAGCACCATTTCTGCCTTGATGTCCAAGAGCCTGCAGAGCTGCATCTCCCACGTAAACCAGCCTGTCATTAAACCACAGGATTTGTCACTGAAATGACAGCACAGAACACACAAACCTCCTGCTCCTTCCTCTCTTTTAAGGAAGTGGCAAAAGCAGCACCACCAAGTGCCCTGGCTGCTACCACGGGGGGCTGGTGGCTGGCACAACCCTCACCTCCTCCTGAAATTCCTCTTCCACACAGAGCAATAGGGCAGCTTCTCTGTCTGGCCCACATGTAACAGCTACTATTTTGTTTTAATTAAGACAGTTAAGTGCTATCACTAAAAGAACAGTTCTGTGTATTAATAAAAGTGTTTTCTAAATAGCCTGCAAAACAGGATGCTTGGTATATTTTCTCATTGGAATATTTTCTTAAGCAACACATAGGAATATGGCTCAGAGGTTTCACACAGAGGTTTTCAGCCATTCCAGCATTACAACCAGCACAACACCAGGTGAAACTGCAGGACATGGATGTGCTCAGCCAATACTGGGAGCTCACAGCCAAAGTACTGCCCCTAACTCAGGCAGCATACAAGATAAGTTTAAAACAGTTACATGATATGAAAGTGTCAATGAAGGATTTTTTTCTGAATGTTTAGTGCTTCCAAACTCAAGATACCAATTTCTGGTTTTCAAGAAGACAGAACTTTTCTCCTGAGCAACAAACAAGACAACTAGACATCCTGCCACAACAATTATCCATCCAGCTAATTTCATTCCCTATTGTTTTCCCTTCTGACAGATTTTTCACAGAGAACTGCAAGATTTTTGAAAGGCATCTGGAAATTACTGGTTTTAGTGAAGCACTAAAAAAATGCAAAGCCACCAATCTGACCATAACACACAGCTTAGCTCATAAGTACGTCTTTGAGGGATATGACTTTGTTATCAGGATCTATTTTTAATAACCTTGTAGCACACAACTTAACTTCCTCATACCCTGAGCCACAAGATGAGGTAGGTTGTTTTGTCTAGGATTTTGCTCAGTTCAAGAGCACTCAACCTTACCAAGGCTAATTTTGTTAATATCTTATTTATTGATAAGAAAACCAGCTTTTAGAAAGCTCAGAGTTTCCTGAAGTTAACATCAGTGTGCATTTTATGCCAGTGTTGGCAGGAAGGTCAATCCCCCCTTGGGCTGGGAAGGGGAGTCCCACACAGGCAGGTCACAGTGGATCCCTGTAGAGCTCCTGGGCACTGCACCACCTCCCCCTTTCTTTTCAAATCATCTTTTTGTGAATTCCCAACTGAGTTCTGCAAAACAACTTGAATAATTTCAAGACAAAAGGCAGATTAATTTAACTTTCATTTATCAAAATCATTATTCGCTGACAATATATTAATACAAATAGACAAACATATTACCTAGACCTAAACAGTTCCTGATCACTTCCATGGGTGTATACCCAAAACCATACACAGTTAAGGGAGACTTAAATATAAGCTAAACACTAAACAGGATTTCCAGCAAGAACTTCCCTCCCTGAGGCCTTTTTTTTTTTACTATCAAACTCTGACTGCTCATAAGCATGGAATTAAATCTTCCCAAAGAGACTCCTTGTCTTCTCACTATCAGAATTGCAACAACATGTCCTTCAACATGCCCATGCATGCACACACTAAATGCCTTATACTCCAAACATTTCAACATTCATTTGCTATTTTATAGGCATTTCAGACTTTTTCATGTTGCTTTCTCCTGCTAAGAACAGTGAAGGACTCTTGCTGGAAAAGTGATGTAGGAAAATTAGAAAGCAGAAATACTTCTACGACACTACAACATGAATGAAAATTGTACAGCCCATTAAACACTCTGGTAACTTCAAGAACAAAAGGACCTCTCCCAGAGTTCAGTACTACTCTGTATAATACTGTAAAAATCTGCCACATTTAACCTCAGACTCTCAGAAGATCCTTGCTAATTGGTCCTCACTAATTGATAAAGAAGAGAGTTTCATGCAAGCAAGACCAAGTTTCCAGGATCAACACACAACATTCTTCAGAGACTGCACACACAGCATTTTCAGAGCACAGTTTTTATACTGGCACAGTAGAAAGCAGATATGGACCTTTAAAAAAACAACCTGTTAATCATTCATGAATGAACAGTCAACATTTTTAACAAAGGCTACAGATATGCTATCAGGACTCTGGAAATCTGAACTCAGTGCAATGGAAAGCAAACCTACACATTTCAGTCATGAAAAGTACCTTGTGAAGTGGCAGAAGCCAGAAAACAAAGTTCGCTTGAAACTGGTAATTACCTTTTTCCTTTTGCAGAACTTAAATTCAAGACAAAAACTTGTAAAACATAACAATTGCTTAAAGAATGACTGCAATGCTAGCCTGCAAAACATGACCTACCACACATCAAATTGCTTTGACTGTGCTGCCTCTGTTTGCATCTTCTTTTAATGCTGTGAACCTGAATGTAAAAGCTTTCATTTCAGTAGCAGCAAGGGAATACAGTCACTGCAGCAGCAAGCTGAAGAAAGAACAAGCAAATCCCACAACATCCTGAGACCGGGAATGAAGCATCCCAGTTCCCTCTACAACTGAGCTTCTTGCCAAGAAATTCCCACTGTCCTTTTAGGAAGGCCTGGGACTTCAATACCAGCTTTATTCAACAGGAATGATACAAAAGAAATCTCAAAAACTCTACAGTTTCATGTCCATAAAGTGACAGCTTCAGCTGGAATAATTAACTCATTTTTTCCTTCCTCTTTCTGCTATTGGTTTATCTTTTTACAAACGTGTTCTGGACTCTGTTTTCTTTCTAACAGATACAGGCCTATTTACAATTTATATCCAAAAACCCATGGGGGAGATTTCTCAGTGAGTCTTCTACTACCTCAGAGATTAACAGAGCAAGCTAATTTAACAAGCCAAATCTAAACAGGAACTGAAATAATTTTTTATACTACAAGCTTCTCCAACACAGGCTTGATAATTCACACTGTAAGTCTAAGGAACATATAAAACAATGAGAGTAAATATTATAAGCCTGTTAACAGCTGATTATAAATTTCAGACAAGCTATAGTAATGCAAATATTATTTAAATGCATTGAAGTTCTTGTGTTCAGTTGACTTGCCATTGTAAATTGGTAA